CGAGAATCGTGTTTTAATTTATATTAAAAATATATTTATATAGTTTGAGGATTTGAAAATATATAGATTCAAATTACTCTTTCGAGAGATTAGGCCAATAACTATATCTAAATCAATCCATATCCATGAAAATGGAATTTTTTTAATTTAATAATTAAGAACTATTATAAAAAGTAGAGTTACTTCTTTTTTCCTGACCGGGTCAATAAAGTTATGAAAGATTTTGATTTATTTATCTCTTATTTTATATATAATGGATTTACTTGGACTAATACATGATTTTAAAAAGTTGTGTATAGTAGCAGTTAAAGAATAAAGCTTCTAAACGTGACAATTATTTGAGACCTTGTTTGACAAACATAAGCTAACCTATTTTTTAATACACATTTTGATGGACATAAGCTGGTTATTTAAACGTTTGAAGTAATTATTTAGGAGCTTATTGTCACTTTTTCTAATTATAACTCTGATTAACATCAATCATTATTTATTACTATTAAATAATTAATAAATATTAATGTGAAACCCATTATTTAAGAAAAAGGAATAATGTTTTAATATTTCCAACAATAAAAGACTTTGAAGGAAAAAAGCTAGGAGTCATAAATAACATTTTATTAATGTATTAATTATTTTAATAATATAATCTGAAATTTCTAAATTAGAATAGTTTTTGGAGTTGAAAGTAATTGTAATAAAGATTTTGCTTTTTAATTATTTATTTTAGGAAAAAATATAGCATGATTATTGGAGATGCTTAATGTTTTTTTTACAATAGAGAAAAGACAAAAGAGTGTGGAAATATTCAAATTTAGAGTAGACTGAGAAATGTAATTATGATCTTCCCCATCAATAAGAGACATTACAAATAAACTTGTAAGGGAGATAAAAAAATATTTTATCAAATATATTAAATATTTTATAATATAATTGACGTAGAATTTTTAAAAATAAAAATAGTTGTTGAAGTTGAACCTCATTTTCTTTAAAGATTTTAATTTTTGATATTTTATTTTAAAAGAATATAGAGATAATTTAGAAAAATTTATAATTTTTATCACAAAATAAGTGTCTACGTTACTATTTTAATTTATTATAAAATAAGTATATAATTTTAAAAATAAATATCTACTTTTCAATTTGGGAAAAGTTCAAAAAAACCCAATGGACTTTACTGTTTGGAACGATTAAACCTTTGGACAATTTTTTGGAACAAATAAACCCTTCGACTTTTTAAAACCTATTAAATAAGTTCTTGGACTTTACAAAACCTGTTAAATAAGTTGTTGGACTTTCTAAAATATGTTAAATACATTTTGTTAGTGAAAAAGGTATGAAAAAACAATGGATTTTCATATTTTGAACGATCAAGTTCATAAATATTTTTTGAACGAAAAAAGTACTTACATTAAAAAAAACACATATACCATTCTCATTACTATTCGTAAAATATACAAAAAATGAAACCAAAGCATAATAATCTGCATACACATTTTGGACATAATTTTACCAAAAGTTAAACGAAAATATATACCAAAAGTTGAATCAAAGTATGTAACAAAAGTTGAATCAAAGTATGTAACAAAAATTGCGCAAAGAAAATACTAACAATTGCGCCAAATATACCAAAAGTTGCGCCCAAAAATACCAACAATTGCGCCAAATATATCAAAAGTTACGCCAAATATACCAAAAAATACCAAGGGTTTATTTGTTC